GGGGGGGGGGGGGGGGGGGGTAAGGGGTAACATGATGTGTATGTACCCCACAAGCAGTAGGAAGTGGTTTTGTTTCTGCTGGCAATTGTGGTGGTGTTTTGACACTGCTGTTATCCCCACGTTGAAAACCCTTTCCGACTTACCTCTATCCGGTACCCCCTCGTGCCTCTTAGGACAAACAAAAAAAACACAGTTCCCTCGTCACACACGGCTACCCCCAATAACGATCGGTTCTCGTCCAAACTTCCGGACAGGCTTGGCTCGAAGCCACCAAGATACAAAGGGTATGCCCATCATACTCACCAGGGGTAGCGACAACCCTTGCCTTGCTACGTTGTGTTCGGGGAATAAAAAAGGAATACTTATTCAGACCCATATGGCAGGGAGCAAAACACACGCACAGCAGTTCGAGGTGTTGTAACTCGTTCAGCCCGCTTTCGAAAGCACACCAAGCTCGCCTCTAAGATCTTGCACATAACCTACTCGCGAATGAAGACCCCTGCCGCGATTACCCACCCCTCTCCCACGACCTCTTTCTCAACATTTTTTCTTATGTTGTTCCTCCTCAATATCTCAGCTTGGTTCAGTTGATACAGCTGAACGCACTTATAACCTTCTTTGCATACGATCGCTTCAATTTTTAACGCCCACGCATCCCCCATCAACATCTCAGCTTGGAAAAAGTTGAACGCACAATCATGATTTTAGGTACGATCGCTTCAATTTTCAATGCCCAAGCACCCCCCCATCTATCTCAGCTTGAATCAGTTGAATGCACCACTAATTATGTACGTTCACTTCAGTTTTCAAAGCTTGGTACAGAGTTACACGCAATACCATGTTTTATGTTCAATCGCTTCAATTGTCACTGCTATCCACGCATCCTCCCAAACTTGCTTCTTCAGGTTGCTGACACTACAGGCTCACCTCGAGAATCTTGCAGAGGATCTGGGTGTAGATCTGGCCGTAAGCCTTCCTCGCGAAGTCGTCTTCGAGCACGCTTACGACGTGCCCAAGCAAGGTCTCCGTCACGGCCCCCAACTGCCCTGGCTTCTCGCCTAACCAGAAAAAAAAAAAAACGCGCTAAAACTAAACGCAAGGCTCAATACAATGCATGGATAGAAAGAAAAGCATGTCGGTCTGGAGGAAGCAGGCGGTCGGAAGCAAAAGAAAGATCAGAAACAACAGCAACAGCACAGTTTTTCATTTTTTCGCATCAAAACTCGGCCCCGCTCTGCCGGCGGATGCTACCAAACACGACCCCTCCATTTCGTTGAGAAAAGAAACAACCCTACGTCAACATTCTTCCGAAATCAATATACAAAACTTTTAGTGCTTCTCTTTCAGAGGAGACGTGAACACCAATGCAGAACAAGGAGACACACAAATAATTGATGTGCTGGTTGGTGGCGTGGATCACCTGCCAGTCGGACGAGCTTCCACAAACAGTCCGCCTCGTCATTTCTCGGGTCCCGACCTCTCTTGTCCGCCGCGGCCACCTGCCACACCACCGTCGTCGCATCGACACGCCCACAAACACACACACTTTTTCACAATCATTTTGTGGTTTCAACCGCGCTGACATACATTGGGCAGCCGGTTAGCGCGGTCGATGATAATAAAAAAAAAACACACACACACACATACACGCACTTACGCACTTGCTGTTCTAGTGGCAGCAGTTTGTGCTGTGTCTTGTTCCCTCCCCCAAGCACTGCTGTGAATCGGGACGCCTATTAGTGGTGGGTGTTGCTTCTCTCGTTTCGAGTGACTCGAATCCGGGCTCAGCGGTGTCGGTGTTTTGTCTTCCTTCCACTATTACGGGGAGCTTGAATCCGGAGGTTGCACCGTCCTTGCTTTCACATCGCACAAGTGGCAGCGGTTTTGCGTTGCGTTGTGTTTCGGCTCGAAAATGTTCGTGTCGTGCGCACGATGATCTTCACCAACAAAAAAAGGTGGCAACTGCTATAGTAAAGGTCCCTGTTTAGTGCTGTCATGTGCCCAGAAAACCCACCGGCATTATGCCGGACCGACACTATTCGCAGTATTGAGAATGACTTGGAGATTTAGTGTGTGCCCGCTGAAAACAACGGCGCTATACCGGGCACCAGCGCTTTTCGACCGACACTAAACACCCCCCCCCCCCGCACTGATATAGATGGTGGGCACAAGAAGTCCTAAAGGACGGGGATAAAATGTGCAAGAAATTTTTATGCAGTTTGTGGCAGAAACGTAAAGAGCTCCCAAATGTTGGTGGTGTCTCTGGTAGGGGTAGGAACGGTGCTCCGTCTCGAAAGGGACGCGTGGTCAATGGTCAAATCACTAAGGCAAGCAACAAATGAGTACGCCCCCCCCCCCCCCCCGCACTGATAACCGGGTTCTGCCGGTACTTCGTCTTCTCCTTCGCCTCCATTGCACACACACCTCTTTGTCGACCGCGAGCTTGGCGTTCTTTATCAGCCGCACCCACACGCTCTGCTTCCTGCCGTTTTCCCATCAATTCCAACGTGTACGAGGGGGGGGGAGGTTCGTTACGGTTTACCATTACTTCTCACGTCAACCCGGCGCTTGGCTCTGACCTCGAGCTGCTGGAAGGAAGCAAAAAAAAGCGGCGAAATAGTCTCTGCGGGTTCTCGGACTCCCATATCGACAATTGATACGCATCCTAAATAACGAGGGGCACCTAAACGTACGGGCGTCCCCAGAAATGACCCCAAACATATGGAAGTCCTCCCGCCCTTTATCGAACTATGGGACGTTCTGAAAGGTGTTCGCCTGTGCCTCTTCACACGAGAAAGAAAGTCGTCAGGGCGGCGGCGGCGGCGGCGGCCACCACTAAAAAACTACGCATGCGCCCTGCAGCAGCGGACTGGACACGGCGGAGGGGCTGGTTTGTTGGGATTGAAACAAGTTCGGTGGGGTTTACTGAACGTGCCACCACCAAAGACCCTCTTACTGCGTCCCCGAGGCTAGAATATCTTTTTCTCTCTGGGTAGTCCGACATCGACTAAATGACTTGTAGTGTGTAGGCTAGTAGGTGACGGAGAACTCATTCTTATGGGCAGGTTGTAGTGTCCTCTGCAGAAGTTTTTGACCCCCAGGTGCTTGACGGGTTGGCGCGTTCTGTATTCCCTGACCTGCAACCTTGTACGCGAGCTGTCAGTAGCCTCTCTCGACCGCAAATCGAAAGGATAAGGATGTAGACTCTTCTGAACGACATATTGTACGGTAAAGGGGTTCGATTTCTACGGGATACAAATCGAGAGGATAAGGATGCAGCCTCTTCTGAACGACACACGGCGAGGGGTTCGATTTCTACGGGATGTAGGCAAAAACAGAAAAAAAAGGCGATTCCGAAATCTCCCAGAGGGCTGGCGCGTGCAAGACGAAGAACCGAACGATTCAATCGTCTTTGTGCTCTATGCCTTGGTTTATCCGACACTGCTCTCTCTTCCCGACTCCTCCACCAAAGAAACGACTTGGTCGCAAAGCAACAAAAAAAACAAAGAGCTGGTATGTGGAGACCACCTTCATAAAGGTAGAAACGTAGAAACTCCCCAACGTCTGTCGAGGACGATTCCCTCTTTTTTCACAATGGCGTAATGTGGAGACCACCTTCATAAAGGTAGAAACTCCCCAACGTCTGTCGAGGACGATTCCCTCTTTTCACAGGTATTCTCCACATAATTTATGCATTGTACGTAAAGGCAAAAGAGACTCACAAAATCTAATCAGAGAGTTTCATGTTTGCCGGAGCTTGGCGCTCGGCAAGCTACGCACGCCTCCTCTGACAAGTATTGCTTCGAAAAATAGCAATGGGAACTGAAGTAAATTACGGCACTCGAATCGGTCGAGTACAAGGCTCATTCATTACGTATGCACACCGGTATGCATCTATGGTATATGCATCTAGTATCGCACAGGGTGGCTGCAGTTTGTGGTCCAGGGCGCGTACCGCTCTATTTTTGAACGCAAAAAAAGTGTACACGCCTGTCCATGTTACACTGCTGCTGTTGCATGTATCCCACACTTTCAAAAGTAGTTCAAAACGAGGATGTGACCACACGGACGGTACCTGTATGTGTAAGATCTGTTGCTTGTAGAACGGGTATCGAAACATAAACATGCATGTGGGTGGCCCTTCGGCATACGGGTTTCGTAGTTCCCCGCCTATGATGCATACGGCGATCTACATTTGTGCAAATTCGTATCGCGAGGTATGTAAGCGGAGAGTTATCAAGTGGGGCTCACCCTGTACCCATCGTGGAGAGTGAGACTCGGTTAGAATCCTTGTCGACGATCTCCAGAATCTCCTTCATCGCTCTTCGTCGAACCGTTGCTCCATTGGCACGGAGCTGGGTGATGAGGCCCTCGATGTCATCCACCCCAGACATGATAATTACTGCCGTAGAGCGAAGTTCTCCGACCGAAGTTATTTGTGCTCTAGCTAATATCTAGCCGTGGACCCAGCCCCTGTCCCGCACGCGTGTAATCAAGGGTCTCTATCGAATGCACATCTCGACGTCTACTGTTGTCTGTACAGAGCCTGCCTCTCCTGACTAGCAAGCTGTGTGTCCTGCCTGGCTAGCACAGCAAGCTGGACATGCAGCAGCAGTGCAGCAGGTCGAAAGTCGCCAGTCCTGAATCGGCCCGTGTATCGAAATGAAAGTCTGCCCTATCCGCACATGATCTCACGGAGCCACTTGTGAGAGTGGGGAAAAGTGCGCTGTGTGCCGCCGCCCACTCACTGCTGGCAGGTGAGCCTCCCCCTCAGTCTCTCTTTGCGTTGCGGGAAGGACAGTCATTTAGACGTCGGTACTTGGACGGACACCAGCCTCGTTGCCCCGCTTCTTGCATTGAGGGGGGAGCTTGCGGCTGTGTCGCCAGAAGGAGGAGGTGAGGAGCGAATAGGGCAGACTTTTTTTTTTGAATTTTACGGCCCTTTGCCCTTGCATCCATGTGCGGCGCGTGCTGCGACGCGGAGAGAGCTCCCTCGCCCTAGATAGGGTGGCAACTAGACCCCGCGTTCCCTTTATATTGGCCTGCAAACGGTACGTGGTGTGCGGGTGAGTTGGTTCGGCTGAGCGAATGAGGATATAGTGGAGCTCGAGTGTCCGCTACAACTTTCAGAGAGAGATGCCGTAAAAAAAGTGTTCGGGTCAGTCGAACGCTCGTTTTAGCGTCACTGCTGTGGAAGCTTACCGTTGGACTCCGGTCGTACACCGCGAGCAACGTGAAGCGAGCGCCGGACTCCCGTTGTCCATGAGAACTGTCTCGCTTTCTATGTATCACAGGCAGGAATTCGCGCGGGTTCAATTCGGTCACACCAGGGCAGTCAACTTACAGCAAGTACTTGTGCTGTTTCTTGAAATTGGCCTACATGTCTGCTGGTTCGGTGGGTTCTTGGAATCTCTTGCTCTGCACGTTTGGTGATTTCACCGGGGGCTTGTAAATGCTGCACACGCTCAGCTCATGTCTATTGTTGAACATGAAAGGCACCCGATGCATGTCATGTCTATCTCTCTCCGCTTATCTCCACTCGCTCATCATGTTTGAATTTTCGCCGCCAGAATCCAGGACCAGCCGGCCACCGTTGTGACGGGAAAGCCGGACATCCCCCCGACTTGTTGCCCTGCAGTTGGGTTCTGGCGTCTACTTCTATATAGCAGAAGCAGCAGCAGCAGCAGCCGTCACACTTCGTCCTGCTTCTACCACCAGTAGGGGAACGGACGTTCGGGGGGAGTCGGAAAACCATGGAGAGCTTGTCCCTCGAGGAGAAAATCGCCTCCTTCAAGAAAAAGATCGACGACCTCGACCAATCCGCGGCCCCGCCGCCGGCCGTAGGCGATAAGGATCAATCCGAGGCGACGTCCCTGTATGAGGCTCCCGAGCTAGGCAACGGGAAGATAGCCGCGATGAAGCAGAGGCTAGTCCGCAAGGGTTTGTCCGTCTCGGGAGGCGGGGACGCCGCGGACGGCGGCGAGTCATCGCCGGCAGTGGTACCCAACGGGGGCGGCGGCGGTGATGGCACGGAGTCAGACGAGGACGGCGGGGGTGGCTGCGGCAGCGGGCCGACCGAAGCAGACAAGGCCGCCAAGCTTGCCGCCGAGTTTGAAAAGGGTAAAATAGCCGCGATGAAGAATCGTCTGGTCGCCAAGGGGCTCGGTATCGATGATAACGCTTCCGAGGCGCCGGCGGCGGAGCCCGCTGCTGCTGCGAGGGCGGCACATGCCGCGGCGAAGGCAACGGCCGCCGCCGCGTACGCCGCCACTTTGACGGCGTCGTCGCCGTCGCCGCCGCCGCCGCCTCCCGCGGAAGCTGATGATGTCCTTGTGAAAACAGAAGGTGCCGGAAACGATACGCCCGCAACGGAAGAATCGAAAACGCCCGACGCCTTCGACGGCGGTGCTGAGGAGGAAGAAGGTGCCGAAGAGGAAGAAGGTGCCGAAGAGGAAGAAGGTGCCGAAGAGGAAGAAGGTGCTGGAGAGGAAAAAGATGCTGAAGGGGAAGAGGAAGAAGAGGAGGATACCTTGGCAGCTGCTGGGCCTCCATCTGCCCCTGCCACCGCCAACAGCGGAGCGAATGTGGTGGCCGAAACGGCCGGGGTTGCAGGCGTTCCAGACTCAGCGGAGTCAACTGAAGAACCCGGTCCTGAGCCAGTTGTCGTCGCCGATGCCGGCGGCGTGTCTGCCCCCGACGAACATGAAAACTCCGGCGTCGTCGCGCCGTTCTCGGCGGTGGGCATCGCGCCCGAGGCCGGTGCCACCGCTGTCGAGGAGGACGAGCCTGCCCCCATGCCTATTGCCGTCGTGACCGCTCCGGGAGACGAGCCTGCTCCCGTCGTCGTCGTACCGTTCTCGGCGGTGGGTGTCGCGCCCGAGGCCGGTGCCACCGCTGTCGAAGACGAGCCGTCCCCCGTGCCTATGGTTGCCGTGATCGCTCCGGGAGACGAGCCTGCCCCCGTGCCTATTGCCGACGTGACCGCCCCGGGAGATGAAGAAAAAGGCCGTGGTACCGCCGCTGCGAACGAGGACGAGAAGCCCTCCTCGCTGACAGTATCACCAAGCGAGGGAGGAGATAAGAAGGAGGAGAGCAGCCCGCCTACGCCCCCCTCCTCCCCAACCGCCATCCCTCCGGCTTCAGACTCACAGCAGCAGCAGGAGGTGTTGCCCCCTCCTCCGCCAGCAGCACCAGCACCAGCACCAGCAGCGGCAACACCCGCAGATGATGGGCAAGTGACGGCGCGCACCACAGCGCCGGGCCCCTCCCCCAAGATCGAAGGCTTCAACGTGGCGGCGAGCAAGGCGAAGGCCGCTCTGGCCGCGGCAAAGTCGCGCTCGCGAAGCAGCAGCAGCACCCAGCAAGCTCCTGCTCCCGCCGCCGCCGTTGCCTTGCCCGCCGGAGACGCACCGAAGCAGCGGCAACGGCAGCGGCAGCGGCAGCCCGGCAAGCGCGCGTCAACCCCGGGCCGGCAGAAGCGTGCCGGCTCTGTGGGCAGGAGCGCCTCCCCCATGCGCAAGCCGTCGCCGTCCGTTCCCGCACGACCGCGCGGGCAACCGGCGGCGTCGCAGCAGCAGCCACGCAGCGTCACGTCTACCCCGGTGAGGGTATCGCCCGCTGCCGGAGAAGTTTCCCGGGCGAATCCCACCGTCGCCGTTACTCCGGGGCTCCACGCCGCCACCCCGTCGCCGCCGCCGCCACCGCGTGCGCCTGCGCCGGCCGTGGTGGAAACCTCGCCGCGGCCCCGTCGCCCGACATCGTCTCCTGCCAGGCGAGAACGGGGGGCGTCTCCGGTGAGATCTGCCACCCCGGCCCGCGCCGCGGTGGTGCTGACGCCGGCCCTGGCGGAGGCGTCGGGGAACCGGCTCCACGAGCAGGCCCGCGAGGCCCGCGAGCGGCTGGAG